TACAAAATTAAGTAAGCATACAATGTTGCAGAGCATGCACAGTTTGGTCAGAAAAGAATGTATTGGTTTTTACTGAATTTTGTATGGTATAAATGTGCCGTATTTATTGCTCACAGAAGCATTGATGAAAATCATTGTGTTGAATTGTTATGGATAATGACTGGTTGATATAAAATGCTGAATTATAGTAATAGTGCTGCATGGTAAAAGATTCATTATTTTGTGCAAAATTATGCAAAATTGAACAGCTTCATTGACTATTACCAGTAAGTAAAAGCACGATAACTAAATTTTATTTCAATTCAACCAGTCATAAAATTGCCACAGAAACTGTCTTCAAAATAAATATAAGCATTTATAAGGAACATTATACATTTTACCAACTTTGAATATGAAAATGGTATTTCTTCACTCTCTTCCTCTATATCCTCTTCTGTGTAGCTTGAGTGACCTTCAAATCKTTTCATGACAGTTCTAATATGTTGAATCTGTAGAATAATAATTGACTATGCATAAAACATCAATCCAACAGCCAAATAATTTATTATCATTCCTTCAAAATTATTACTTACTTCCTCTTTATCCACGTTCCAAAATACAACTGCTCCAAGCCATCTGAAAAATGTTGAAATTGAAATTGTAGGTTATTTGTCATTATTTTACTGTGTAACTACTGTGTAACCAGGGCCTTGAGTGATTATCAAAGTGGCCCTAGTTTTACATTATAGCAACACCATGAAATATGGAAATTGAACATTCATATTGACCGAAAATCTACATCTACATAATTGAAATTATCCAATATACCCATCTYTTTTTCAGCTTTTCTTTGTTATTGTATTAAAACTTGCATTTCATTTCACCTCTGGATAAAATCAATGAAGATTACTTATTCAAATATTTGTGCATAGCTACCTTACCTGAAAAAGAAGATTTCTCTTCTGCTCATACCATTCTCATCCCTTTCATTTGAGCATACATGCAGAACATCCCGAGCATCTTTAAGAGCAAAGAATTTGTTAGATGACAGTACAGTCATGTAAACTGTAAAGGCCAATTTAGACGACACAACTTTTCCCTACAACTATCGCATGCGACCTGCGTAAGTCATCCTTACGACATTGCTACAA